TGAAAGCAGATAATGCTGGCAGGGCCCTAGTTGTTCAGGAAGATGGCTCTACCTGAGGGTGCAGCCGTGAAATCTCATTACCAGCCACCTCCCTCTATGCACCCCACTTCCCACCAATAACCACAGAGATGGAGAGTCAGATCCTGGAAAGTGTGGTAGATAGGACTGCAGACCTGGCAGTCAGGCTGCCTGGGTAGAGTCCCAGCTTGGCCATTTACTAGCCATGTGCCCATGGGCAAGTCACTTACCCTCTTTGTGCCACCCTTTCTTCATCTGGAAGTTGTAAGTAACCTGAAAAGTGTTGTAAAGATGCTATGACTGACGTACGTAAAGGGCTGAAATGAGTGCCTGTGAGAGCAGAAGCACCATCGAAGTGTGAACTGTTGTTGTTTTGGAATTCTATGGGAGGAATTTTGAAGCACAGAGAGATGACAGGAACAAGGAGGCCGGTTTTTGGATCTGGGCAGTTTGCTAGCTCCTCTCAAGTAAACTGTCCCCAACAAGGTCAGTTCTTAGGAGCCTAGCCTGGAACCTGGAAATAAGCGACAGAACGTCTGAGCAGCAAACATCCATCACAAAGTGCATCATCCTCGCACTGTCTGAGCATCTGGAGCCAGTCTCAGGCTCTCAGGAAGATGAAAACATACAGTAAGGGCACACATCACAAGCAGCACTTGGGCAAAGGTTAGAGCTGACGGGAGGATAGGAGACGGCACTGCCACAGGCAGGGAAGGCTGCTCTGTGTTACTCAGCGCAGAGGCCTTCTCCCTAAGGAGACCCCAGGAGCATCACTGCTTCATGACCACACAATGACTGATTTTCACAAGTCATGCCCTTTGAGTTACCAACAAAAGATTAAATCATGTTAAGTTCCTTTCTGTTGAAGAAGAGTAGAAATACTCTAGAATTTTTCCCAATAAAAATTGTTATAATGTAAGTTTTGACATTTAAAGAGGAAAGCTTAAGTTATTTAGGAAAATCACTGAACATGATATAAGTTAAATGAAGTGATCTAGAGAAAATGTACTTATAATCCAGACAAATTTGAAAATGTATTTTGAAGATAATTGTAGATGACTCTTCAGTATTAACTGCTATTTTGGAACTATCTGCAGCATAGTGACCCTTTTCCGTTTAAGAAAGAGAAATGGCTTACTATCATGAGATTTTTTCTTGTAGGCTCAATTGCTTAAAATTTCAAGAAGATATCCAGTTGAAAAATATGCATTTTACAAAGTTTAATTTCATGGGGAAAAAGTAACAATATACATTAACTATTTGATATTTCTGAAGAGCCAATAAATGTTAGCATGCTCTTTCAGATTATCATTTATAAATGCCTTCTTTTAACTAGCCATTTAAAAGCAAAGATGATTAATTTTTCAATTTAATAATTCACTCAATTTACCATCTACCTAAGTGCTTTCTTATACAACTGATGATCTTGTAAATTGAGGCCCTTGAAAGAGTTTTCTTGTGTCTTCTGCTGTAATAGATTAAAAAGAACAGAGGCAACAGCGAAAACAAATCCTGAAATAAAATTTCACTTAAGAGTTTCAAATGAATTGGAAGTTAAAATGTGTATCAACAAAGGAGCTCAGATACATCTCCCATTGGGTTCAATAGCCACTATCTTGCTGATTTCTCAGTTTGCTAACAAAACAAAAACAAGACAAACAGATTAGCAGTGCTAATACTCCTAGGATAAATAACAATGTAAGTATGCCTGAAATTTCACCATAGGCCATTAACATGAGGTAGAGAGGTGGGAATAGTAAAATGAACATTTTGTGGCTGATTCAAAGTTTAAAAATTGAAACTTTTAGTAGACACATATATACCAGCTATTATGTATTTTATCAAGCTTTCTTTTTCTTTCTTTACTTTTTTTTTTTTAAAGAAGGCCTTGTCAGGTTTCTACAAGGTAAGGAAGAAAACTATACTGAGTTTTAGAGACATATTATAAAAACAAAAATGCATCTAATTCCAGAAGACAGAATGATGAGCCCAGGCCAAACAGTGAGGATGACTGTGGTAATGGATGCCAAGGATTAGACTAACTACAATCACAGCAATTATTGACACAAATTATTTAAATACCACCCACAACTATAAAATGACAAAACAATTACATTCATTTATATATTGCTTCAAGTTGATAAAATGGTTTTTGCTAGAGTTGACTGCTGTGACTTGAAGGGCCAAAACGTCCTTAGCCAAACATGACTTAAGGAACACTATAAAGCAAATGTTCCTGGTGCTCGAGGAAAACAAGACAAAGGAGTGAAATATTTCACCACAGAAAACATCAGTAACAGTCCAGTTTAAGAGATGTCTCCAGTTAGTGCAGGATTCATTGTCAATTGAAAGGTGACATTAAGAGTGACATGAAGAGAAAAGCACTGAGGACTGCAGTGGGGAGGGAGGCTTCCTGGAAGAAGCAGGCTTTCAGGAGAGCAGTATTTGGATTAATGAACCAAATCATGAAGGGGTGATAAACTATACAAACTAGAATTAAATCTTCCAGGGGGTTACGGGGGTTGTAGCCTGATGGGGACATTCATGAAACCTTGACTCTCTTTAAATGTCCCTGGGGTACCCATTTCTTCCATCTCCCTCATTTCTTGCTGCCCTACACTGTCCTTAGTGGAAGCATTTCTCCTGCTTTAATGGGCTCAGGAGGAATAGGAAGTCTTTCTTTGCTTCCAAGAACCTTACTGAGACAAAGACGGTGTATTTTATTATTATTTACACACACTAATAAAAGCTGGGGAGAACAACGAGGAAATAATCAGAGTGCCAAGAATCGACACGCTTATAAAGTGTAATCTCCGGTTCCTCTTCCTGGGATCCCACGAGAAAGGGTTCTTGGTTGGGACTCTGTCATCCCACAGACAGACTTGCCCTAAGGCAGCAGACACCAAACATCTTTACCCAGCACCCCCCGCCCCCACCCCCCGCCGCAAGTCAGTAGGCTCGCCCCATGTGACTGGTGCCATCCTGCACTTACGCACCGGGGATGGTCCTAGGCGGGGCAAGGAGCCTTCTCTCCCCCATCAGGCCCCATTTCCTGTCCAGAAAACCCACCCCCTTCCACAGTGATTGACAGATAGTGTCTGCTCTTCCTCCAACATCGTGAGCTCAAAAGATCGCCGCCTCGTGGAAATAGGCGTGCTCTTCCAGCCGGTATGCACAGATGGTGGAATGGGGGCGGGGGGGAGGAGCGGGGGAGGTGGAGGGTGGGGGTGGGGATAAATGGTGGGATTGGTATTCTTACACCGAAACAGTATAGCCGGCTCTCTGTATCCAGGAGTTCCGCATCTGGGGATAAGAAGGGCCTCCTGTATTCACTGTACTGAACCATTTTATATAAGGGACTTGAACATCCTCTGATTTTGGTATCTTCAGGGGCTCCTGGAACCAGTACCCCCACGGATACCGGGACAGGACTGTACTACACTCTTTGAAGTAGGGATGCCAGATAAAATACACATAGAACATACTTACACTAATAAAGATTATTCCTTGTTTCTGAAATTCAGATTTAACTGGGTGTTTTGTGTTTTTGCTCACTGAAAGTGTGACCCAAGTTTTATGGGCCCTGCGAAACATCTTTTCCCCAAGTCCTTTTTGAAGTAAGAAAAACACCCATTGCACCAGGGGTCCTACAGCTACAGACCTGTAGGCCAAATTCAGCTACCCATCTGTTTTTGTATGGCCTGTGAGCTAAAAATGGGTTTTATGTTTTTAATGGTTGAAAGTAAATCAAAAGTCGAAAGGAGAATTTTTGTGACACATGAAATTTATGTGTAATGAAAATTTTGGTATCCATAAATAAAGTTTTGCACCTTCTCAGTCTTGTGATTCTTACCTGGTCTCCCACTTGGGCTCCAGACGCCAGTCCTTTATATACTATTTATAGCAGCTTTGGAGATAAAAGAGCAGAGTTCAGGAGTTGCAACAGAGGCCATATGGCCCACAAAGACTGAAATAGTTACTATATGGTCCTTTACCTAAAAAAGTATGTAGAAAACAGACTTATGGTCACCAAAGGGAAAATGGAAGATGCAGGGATAATTTAGGAGTATGGGATTAACAGATACACACTACTATATATAAAACAACAAGGACATACTATATAGCACAGGGAACTATATTCAATATCTTATAATAACCTATAATGGAAAAGAATCTGAAAAAATGTATATATGTATAACTGAGTCACTTTACTGTATATCTGAAACACTTTACTGTTTATCTGTAAATCAACTAGACTTCAATTTTAAAAAAGAATGTGGATCCCTGCTGTAGACTTTGGTTTTTTGAGGCCTCCAGTGCCTTTTTTTTAAATGAAGATATGTCAAAATGGGGTAACTCATTTCGTTTGTGAATGGCAGGCTTGGTCTAAAATGGTGGTCCTGCCTTTGCCCCTCAGACCCCCCAAATCCCCCATCCCACTCTACCCCTTGGGCCCCTATTTAAAGGATGGATACAGCATAGGCCCTCTCTTGACAGAGCTCATGACTATCAGGGGAGACAGCCATGTAAATAAAGTGTTCTGCTGGAAGCGTATTAAGCCTAGGGAGGAGAGGAGAGTTATGTGCACAACCCAGGCTTATCAGGCAGGCAGGAAAAGCAAGAGCATCTATTTCAGATCAGCAGGAGGATAAAGGCTCAGATGCTTGCAAGTGTATAATATATTCCAGAAATGAAGGAGTTAAGCTTGACTGAACCTGAGGGGCAGAGGATGGGAGGTGGGGAAGGAATGACTAAAGATAATAGCAACACTTAACAAGGTGGAGCTTTCTATGTGCCTAACACTGTTATAATTGCTTTTCATATTAATTCATTTAATTATCACAACAGCCCTTGACATAGTCCTGTCATTATCCCCACTTTATAAATGAGGAATCTGAGGTACACACAGAGGTCAAGTGACTTGCCCAATCTCAAAAATAAAAGAGAGAGAGAGATTGAGAGCAGCAGGAGGTAGACCCAGGCTCACCTTCTTAACCAGATTAACAAAGATCAGGTTGCTCTTCTGTTGTCCCCCAGACAGTGGCAGCTGGAACGAGTCGGGTGATGGGAATGGAGAGGTGGGCTATTTCTCGGGTCCCAGGACTACCTGGGACGACTGTGTGAATGGTGATAGCAACTTCATTAGGGTGATCGACACTGAGCAACAGGAAACAAAACCAAGGGGCAGGTAATTCAGTAAGTGTGATGGAGATTATAAATGGTGAAGAAAATCAGAGAAGAGAGGAGGGAAGTTATACTGGTGTCAGAAGAGCTGGCCTTTGCACTGGTCCTTTGGACACTTAGAAACAAGGGGGCATGAATCTACGGGATCCTTTTCCATTTTTTTGTTTGTTTGATCGTGTTCACAGCTGTATTTCCAGCATCTGGTGGCTCATTAATATTTGTTGAATGCATAAGTGGATTTTAAAATATATATGTATGTTTGAATAGGTAATACGGTCACATGGGTCAAAAGTTAAAAGTACCACGGGCCCCCATCATGCAGTTCCACTCCACATAGGCAACAAGGTTTTAAGTTTTTTGCGATTCCTGGCAAATACGTGTGTGTGTGTGTGTGTGTGTGTGTTGATTCTCCACTTCCTCCCCACACACATACTTCTTATACAAATGATAAGTATACACACCAACCTGCACATGGCTTTTCTTCACTGGATGCACCTGACTTCCCGACAGGCTGTTTTACAGCTGCAGCCACCGCATCGATGTGTCACACTTTATCCAGCCCCCTCCCCTGGACATGTAGGTCTTTTTCTTCCTTTGCTATTAGAGGTAGCACTGCAATGAGGAATATGAATGTAGAATGAGGAAACTCTGGGCTGGGAAATGAAATGACTTGAGAACACTTTTTAAAGACTGGCCAGAAGTCACCTACCATCACGGTAGTGAAATCCGCACCCTCAGAATCTGACAGCTCTGGATGTGACCTGGTTGAGCGAACGACATCAGGCTGCTCCTAATGACTTGCCTTCCCTTGGAAGAGCTACTGAAATTCTCTTCGGTTTTCACATCTGAATTGGGGTTAGCGATGCTCTGAGACTATGGAGGTTAAACGAAAGGAGGTGAAGAATAGCTACAGCCTGCCTGGGTGTGTGGTACATAGAAAGGACTCTCACCTTCATTTCATTGTGCTGCTGTGCTCGGACCCTCAGGATTCTCTTTCTCATTCTTCCTTCTGCCTCTTTATTCTGCCTACTGTGACCAGAACGACGCTCTGATCTGAAGGGCTACAACATGGATGAACCTGGAAGACAATCTAAGTGGAAGAAGCTAGTCACAAAGGGCCACATGTTGTATGTTTCCGTTTATATGAAATGTGCAGAAAAGGCAGCAGATCTAGAGGTTAATGGTTTCCTAGGGCTGGGAGACCGGGGGTGGGGTGGGTGGAATGGGGAGCAACTGCTAATGGGTAAAGGGTTTCTTTTTGGGGTGATGAAAGCGGTTTGAAACTGATGTGGGTGCACAACTCTCCACATACCAAAAAACCTTGAATTGTAGACTTTAAAGGGGCAAATATGTGAAATGTGCCTCAATAAAGTTGTTATTTAAAAATGCCCAGGCAGGAAGGCGAGGTAGAGGAGGAAGAAGGGATATAGGGACTCAGGAGCAGCAGAGAGAAAGGGCTGCATTCCAGGTGTAGATCTAGTACAGCAATGGACACCAAATTTTACTCCTGGCTCAGCCTCTAACTGGCTGTGTGACCTTGGAAAAGCCCCTTCACCTCTCTGTGCTGTGTCTCATTAAGAAATAAAATAAAATGAATAAAAGTAGGAGGGGGAACTTGGGTCTCTTACGCATCTAAAAGTCTACAATTGGCCTCCTGCCTCACGCCGGGGGAGGAGAGGTGAGGGGAAGCCAGAGACAGGCGGAGAGCAGAGAAACTGGCGGGCCTCTCCCTCCTCTCTCCGCCCTGCTCTGCACCCTGCCCTCCCCTTGAACCCTAGGCCTTTGTTCAGATTCCCCCACCCTGGAAGTTCATGCATGCAGGGGAGGGTGTGAGGGTGGGGTCAGGTCAGGGTCAAGAGAAGGCCCGGACAGAAGCCACACTTGCAGATATTACTCCATTTTCTAGTAGAGATTATAGTCCTCCAGAAGGAAGCAATTTGGGAAAATGAACATAGAGCCAAGGCAAATTCTCCAAGCAGAGAGGTGGTTTTCCAGCAACTTATGAGGATAAATTTGCCATCATGGAGGTTAATTAGCATCCTTTAATATATGATAGTGAGCTGTACTAAATTAAACATGCACATTTTAATTTTAGTAAAATATACATAAAATCTACCATTTTAACCATTATTAAGTGTACAGTTCAGTGGCATTAAGTACATTCCATGTTGTTTAACCATCACCAGCACTCATCTCTATTTTTAAATTTTTATATTGAAATATTTTTAAAAGTGCAAGAATCCTAAATGTTCCCCTTCATGAATTTTTTTCTTTTTTTTTAATTGAAGTATAGTCAGTTTACAATGTTGTGTCAATTTCTGGTGTACAGCATAATGTTTCAGTCATACATATACATATATATATTCCTTTTCATATTCTTTTTCATTACAGGTTACTACAAGATATTGAATATAGTTCCCTGTGCTATACAGTAGAAACTTGTTTATCTATTTTATATATAGTAGTTAATATTTGCAAGTCTCAAACTCCCAATTTATCCTTTCCCACCCCTTCTACCCCCTGGTAACCATAAGTTTGTTTTCTATGTTTGTGAGTCTGTTTCTGTTTTGTAAATAAGTTCATTTTGGTGTCATTTTTTAGATCCTACATATAAGTGATACCATATGGTGTTTTTCTTTCTCTTTCTGGCTTACTTCACTTAGAATGACAATCTCCAGGTCCATCTATGTTGCCACAAATGGTATTATTTTATTCTTTTTTATGGCTGAGTAGTATTCCATTGTATAAATAAACCAGAACTTCTTTATGCAGTCATCTGCTGATGGACATTTAGGCAGTTTCCACATCTTGGCTATTGTAAATAGTGCTGCTGTGAACATTGGGGTGTGTGTATCTTCTCTAATTAGAGTTCCCTTAGGATGTATGCCCAGAAGTGAAATTGCTGGATCATATGCTAACTCTAGTTTTTAAGGAAACTCCATACTGTTTTCCATAATGGCTGCACCAGATTACATTCAAGTGTAGGAGGAACAGTGTAGGAGGTTTCCGTCTTATCCCACTCCATGCAGTTTTACATTTGTGCAGACCCATGTAACTACCATCTAGATCAAGACCCAGACCATTTATAGCACTCCAGAAGGCTCCCTCTTGCCCTCTCCAATCAATTATATTTTGCTTGTTTTTGATAAATTTAGCTCTTTGCTTGGAAAAGAAAAAAATTCTTTTGCACACAACTTAGATGGTTTGCAAATTGCATAATCAGTATGTCAATGTTTTATTCCTAGAGGTTCAAGTCCCAGTGTACTTGAGTAGGAAGGCACTGTGCTAGGACAGCACACATTGCTCCACAGAAGGTCCCCTCTCCTCCAGTAGTCAGAATCCCCTTGTTGACCAGCCCAGGGCCAGTTCATGGACTGAACACTTCTCATTGGAACATGATATAAATTCTCACTGCAGATGGGACAAAAGTGACAACCTTTCTGCTAACCAGAATTCAGAGATATTTTCTAATTGCTGCTGGGTTATTTGTTGGTTAAGGCAACCAAACCTATGTCTCATCAATGACTTCAAATGTCTACTGGTTCTGTAGCTGGACTGAAAAATGACATAGCCTAGTCCATTTTATCATTCTGTAGATTAGCCTATGATTTTTTTGTTCAGATTTAAAACTTTAATTTTAATTTTTTGAGATATCAGTGACATAGAACATTATATTAGTTTCAGGTTCACAACATAATGATTCATTATATGTATATATTGCAGAATGATCACCACAAGTTTAGTTAATATCCATCTCCACACATAATTGTAATTTTTTTTTCTTCTGATGAGAACTTTTAAGATCTACTCTCTTGGCAACTTTCAAATATACAATACCGTATTGTTAACTACAGTCACCATCCTGATTACATACCCAGGACTTATTTATTTTATAACTGGAAGTTTGTACCTTTTGACCATCTTCACCCATTTTTTTTTTCAGTATTTAAATCTGGGCTGGTTGTGGGTGAAGTAAGAAGCAGGGAATGAGAGTATAATCCATCAGATTAAGAACGAAGAAAGAAGCCAGTAAGAAACTAAGGAAAGTAGATATTGAAGGAAACTGGAAGAAGGAAGAAGTGGAGAAGGATCACATCAACCCCAGAGAGAGAAAGAGATTTCGTACTTCTATTCAGGAAATCCGGAAGAAGGCAAAAACAAGCCAAAACCCCTGCTGACCTCCAACTCCAACATTTTTATCTGCAGATTTGGCTCTGTGCAATTTTTACCCTAACCAAAGCCTCGTGAAAGTCCGTGTGTTTCACTCACCACTGTCTCTCCAAAGCTCAGCACAAGTGCATGGCATGTGGTAAACAGTCAAGAACCAGGAGGCAAAGGCCAGGAGAACCAGTTAGAAAGGCCCTTTTCTCACTGGAGGAGATGGTCCAGGCAGGGAGGGTAGGAGACAAGGAGGAAGGTCATGAGGGAAATGATCACCTACTCAGAGCGACACGTACATGTGCTGGTGCTTCCGGGTGGAAGTATGTGGGAAAAGAAGGAAATAAACCTGAGGGGAATTTTTTAATTTTAATAGGCAAGAAAACACATACATACACACACACATATAACTATGCGTGGTGATGGATACCTGAAACTAATGTTATATGTCAATGATATGTCCTTTTTAAAAAAAAAGCAAGGAATAAACGCTTAGAAGGAACGGGGCAGAATTGCCCAAGGAATGTGAGGAAAAGCCTCTCTTTTAAATCAACACTAGTGAGTGTGAAGTATATCATATTGTGAATTTCATTTCCGTTTCCCTAATGAAAAATGACATTGGGCATCTTTTTATGTGCTTATTAATTATGGCTACACCATTTTTGGTGAAACATCTATTCAAACAATTAGCTCACTTTTTTTAATGAGGTGGTTTTTTAATGGGGTTGTTTGTCTTCTCGAGTTTTAAGAGTTCTTATTCTGGATACAAGTCCTTTATCAAACACATGATATGCAAATATTTTCTCACAGGCTTGTGACTTGTTTTTTAAGTTTCTTAATGGTGTCTTTGGAAGTGTAAAAGTTTTGAATTTTGATCAAGTACAATTTCTTAATTTTTTTCCATTACGGATTGTGATTTTGGGTGTTACAGCTAAGAACTCTGCCTAGTCCAAGGAAAACCTGATTCATTTCATTGGAGAGGGGAAGATAAGTTGCTCCTATAGGAGGCAACATCTCTATGAATTGATGTGATTTTAGGACTGACTTTCTGAATGCTTTTGGAAGTAAGTATTTGAGTGCATATCTGATGAGAAATCACCTAGACTTGGTAATCAGTTTATTTTATTTTATTTGGGTTTCTTTATTTTTTTAGGGGGAAGGAGGCAATTAGGTTTATTTATTTATTCATTCATTTATTATTATTTTTAATGGAGGTACTGAGACTCGAACCCAGGACCTCATGCATGCTAAGCATCCACTCTACCACTGAGCTATACCCTCCCCCTGGTAATCAGTTTATAATGAGCTAAAGTCAATTGAACACTCAGTGCCAGGCACATGGCTGAATTCTTTAAATGATTGAATCTCATCCAATCCTCACATCACCTCTGTAAAGTCAGCCCTGTTACTCTCATTGTTTTAAAAATGGGGAAACTGAGGCACTGAGAGGATAAATGAAGTGGCAAGGTAGGGGCTGTAGCCCCAGTAGTCTGGATGGAGAGCCCATTCTCAGTCACCCCATAGTGGGCAATACTTACACTTCTGATTCCAGAATCCCAGTGAGCTTTATGATTGCGCAAGCACAAGCCTCCTGGTTCTCAGGTATTTTCTGGGAGTTAGCTGTGGGATCTACATGTCTTAAGCGATTTTTAGGGGCATACGAAAAGTGTTGCCAGTACGAAGGTTTTCTTCTCTAGCTCTCGATGGCACCTGAGGTTTTTGCCTTTGAGAAATTCTGGGTTGAAGCAACAGCTCTGCAAAGTCCTTAGTGAGGCTGATCTCAGCGTAGCGTTTTGTTGACTGGGTGCCTTGTCTTCCTAAATGATTGTAAACTCCAAGATGGCAGAAATCTTGTTCTGTTTTTGTATACGTTTTGAAATTTGGGCTTCTGGGCTCAAGGTTTGTGGGCCTCTCTCTGTGGGAAAGGCAAACTGGGTTGAGAGTATATTTTTCCAGAAGTATTTGCCTTTGCTTCTGTCAGACAACCTCAAGAGTGT